CTCTCATTGAAATACGCACGTTTTGGGCCCAACCTGTCCCGGCGGAAAGCCCCCTCAGAGGCCTTGGGTGGGCTGGTGAGCCGATGGACGGCAGGCCTAGAGGTGCCCGACCCGCTCTCCGCGGGCAACCCCGGACATCCGAACATCTCGGACCAGGGTTTCCGAGGAAGGGGATTCACCGCGCCGCACCACCTGCCGGGCCGGCCTGGAGCCGTTATCGCCCGGGGAAGCATGTCGGAAATGCACGGCTTTAGGGGGTCGGCGTGCAGCTTCGGCGGTGGTTTTTTTTTCCTCCCCAAGACGGCAATTCGCCGCGCCGCACCACCAGCCCCCGCCGGCCTGGAGCCGTTTTCGCCCGGGAAAGCGTGTCGGAAATGCACGGCTTTAGGCGGACGATGTGCAGCTGCGGCGGTTTTCCCGAGGATAACAATTCACCGCGCTGGACCAACTGTCCCGCCGCTCCGGAGCTTGGTGCCTCGGTCGTGTCGGAAACGCACGGCTTTGGGCGGAGGACGCGCAGCTGCACCGGTTTGCCGGGGGCGACTGTTCACAGCGCTGCACCGACCGTCCCGACGCTAGGAAGCCAGGTCCGCAAGGTCGTGTCGGGAACGCACGGCTTTGGGCGGAGGACGCGTGCCTGCCCCGCTTGGTGGCGGCTGGAGCTGATCTCGGGACCACCCCCCCTATAAATAGGCAGACCAGGGAGTGGGGGTTAAGGTCCAAAACGCTCTCATTGAAATATGCACGTTTTGGGCCCAAACGGTCCCGGGGCAGAGCCCTCTCAGAGTCCTGGGTGGGCCGGCGGGACGGCGGGCCGGAGGTGCCCAGCCCGCTCGGCCGCAGGCGACCCCGGACATCCGAACCTCTCGGCCAAGGTTTTCCGAAGAAGGCGATTCAACGCGCCGCACCACCTGCCCCACCGGGATCGCCAGGGGAATCGTGTTGCAAATGCACGGCCTTAGGGGGGCTGCGTGAGGTTTTCTGCGGACGGGAATTCACCGCGACGCACCGCGGGTACCGTGGGCCAAGGGGCCCGCCGCCTGGCCGGCCAGTGTCTCCTTCATCGCACCGTCAGGGGGATTTCTCATGCCTGGCCGGGGCCGCCGGGCCCAGCAACGTGCCGCAGGCCACCGGCGGCTGGCTGGGGACCCGCTAAGAAATCGGATTGGGGCTGGTCAAATTTGGGCCCTGCTGACGAAGACACCTTCCCCCCTATAAATAGGCAAACCAGGGAGTGGATGTTCAAGCCAAAAATGCTCTCATTCAAAGCGTTATAAATGTGCCCAATTCAAAGCGTTATAAATGTGCCCTCTGCACACCTGAGGGCCCCGGCTAGCTA